GCTATGGAAATTTTCGTTTATGGACATCGATTAGCCTAATTTGCTCATTATATACTGTTTTGTTTATTTCTTTCTGTTTATTTAAACTATAAACATAAGGTGGTTTGATTACGACGCTAGCATCTTTTTGAAGGAGGTTACACCTCGAATAGATGTGGCGACCCATTCGTCGAAGATTCTTCATGCTGTCGACAGTTTCTTTCTTCTTTCATTATTTATCGTTTGTGAGCGTCCTGCCCATTTTAATCCATGGTTAGTAGATATTTCTGCCGAAAATTATGAACTTCACACTCAAAACAAAGCGTATCTCTCTCGCTTTCCAATGAGGCATTCATTTTCTAGCTAGAATTCCGACAGCTTCCAGTCCTCCAAAATACGCGATTAAGGATTGACCTCCAAGTGCTGTTCCTGCCTGCACAGTGGAATCAGTGAAGTTCCTTAAGTTCATGTTATTTTTTCCTCGGCTGAGCTATTTGCTCGAGTGTAAGGCGTGTGGAAAAGTCCACATTTGATCACGAGCTGGTAGCCTACTGAATATATATAAGAATGCTGATAGTTCGGATAATAAGGTCTGTCTGCCTGAAAGGTTGGCCAATGAGAAACCTGAATATGGTAGTTTCGGCATCTCATGAAATGTCTACCGAAATCTCGAAAGGTGTTTTCGTTACGAACTAGAAACTTGAGTGACGCTAAAATATTAGCAATCATGCACCCTCAGTAATCAAACTCTTCAAAAGTTACGATACAATTAGTATTTCTTACTGACTTTCGGTGCCTTGATAAATTCGAATATATTTTATACAAAACTTGTACAGACCCATTCTTTTAATCAACATTTTGTAGTAAATGACGCCTTTCTCACAGTCGGGCTTAAGAGGTTTTAAATAAGGAACTTAAAAAGTTCATTAACTGTTCATTCAAACAGCACTGTGTGTGCATAGTTATCTACGCAGCTTATCAAGCATAGGACATGATCCACATAAACTGCAAACACGTATGAGTGCTATATGCCATTTTCCTAGTAGCGTAGAAAAATGTGTGATTTCCCTCAGGCTGAATCTGTACAACGTGTAGCTTGGAAACCCTGAAAACAAATTTAAGAGCAGGTGATGTTCAAAATCATTGGGCAAAAACAAAAGGACTCATTTGTGTTTTAAATAAAGTATAAAATTCGAAGAGGATAGCATTTGCTAAAAAGCAAGTGCAGAAAGTATAGTTTGTTGTACTTTGTTTAGAAAACATTTTTGAAATTAAAAGTACATCGAAAACCATTAGAAAGGACTCCTATTCCTAAAGTAGTCCTTTTTTACATAGTTTAGTTTTTGTTGATGGCCGTTTAAAAGCGGAAACCCTGACTTGCTTAAAATATCTTAGGAGTATGCTGCATTCTGTCTAAATTTGACAGCCTACTTATGTAATATTTACGAAACGAAAACACATTTCAGAATTTCGGTTGACATTTCGATGCATTTTTTCGTTTGACGCTCTGTTTAACTCACCTTGGCTGCTGAATGAGATTTGGGACGTACAACTGCAGAAGGATGGTGCCTGCCGGAGGCTACTCTCGATTGAGCATATCTAAAAAATCCTGTGCGCTCATTGGGCAGGAAGACAGTAAACCACATCCAAAATTCCCACCAATAACTTGAACATTCGCTCGTACTAGTAGGTTGTTAACTTTTTACAATGCGTTCAGTTCATCACAGTGTTATGTCGATTTCAAACACTCCACTAGCAAGGGACCGTCTCGAAATAGCCTTTTTATGAAACTGAAAATGACTGCTTTGGCGCCAAGGTTCTATTCGGCTAAAGGATGCTGCCCCACTGTACGTTCCGAAAGAAAAGTACACAAACACACTACGTTTACCCCTAATGTCCATTCCTAGACAATAGAAGTTGCCCGGCCTTCTTGAGGCGCGTGAATTATGGATACTTTAATACATTTTGTTACGACCCGAAAGAATGCATCAACCCACCGGAGAGGTCCGCTTCCTGAGAACCTGATGCCTTCGGTGATATGGAGCGCCCCTCTGCAGATTGTAGTTCCTGTTTCTTGACTTGCGCCAGCGCCTCCAGCTGGTCTTTTGTCTCGTAACCGGGCCATCCAGAAAACCTGCTTCTCTCCAAGGTCACACCGGTTCCGTAGAGCTGAAGTTGGTTGGTGTGTGGGAGAACAATGACAGCATGAAAATTACGGTAACAGTCTATTACAGATACTAACACGGAAACGAAATCGGCATATTTCTGTAATAAGGACCGGTGGTAGTGGAAAATTATTTGTTATTTTTGATTTATCAATTTATTAGTTTATTGTACTTAACTTATTCTGGTTTTCAGTTATCGCGCTGTAACATTTCGCGAAGAAGTCCGCTGGAAAAAACGGAATTACAGTAGACGTGAACTTTAATGAAATGTTTACCGAAAGTCTGAAATGCTTTTGCCATTATTAAAGATGATTTATATGAGGTTTTACTGTTGATCACAGTACAAAATATGCCCGAGAGATTTCATTTCCCTTAATTGGTGTGTATTATCGTATTGACGTATTTACAATTTCAATATATTTACTTGAAGTCACGTAAAAATATATTTTCTTTTTAAAAGTCTCTACTCCAAGAAAGTTATTGTTGTTTTTAAAAAGGTTCTTATAAGAGACCGTTTAAGACTGATATGTCTTGTCATAAAGCCTCGTAGCTCAATGCTAGAGCATTGGCTGCGCAAAGACTTCCCTGCTGTGTGGGTCCGACTCCCACCGAGGCTGCGCATTTTTAACAATTGGGTCAATCAGATTTTCTAATATCTTGAAATTTCCATTCATAAGGTATCTTATCTCTTCACTTATTTATCCCGATTCTAATCTAAGCAACATGGTCCAGATTTTCTGTCAATTATTATGGACTATGTATGGCATTTTCTTGATAGAGTGTAGATGGTGTTTACCATACACGTTACATATTCCGATTTTAGTTTGGAATATTTGAATACAAGTGTAAAAACAGAGCGGCTACGAAATTATCTGGGGACTGAAAGAGTTTTTAAGACCAAAATAAACCCTATCTTCAAAAATGAAATATTTATGAAAATGTATTTTCAAGGGAATAAAACTTATTTTTATTCGTATATTCTACAAATTATATTCCATTTTTTAAGAGCATCAAAACTCAATGGGAAAATACTATGCTAACTTCTTAGGTAATTACTACGGAGCATAATTGCTCCAGGTGGTTAAGAGGAAGCTTGTTAAACACCTAGCATCCTAGAGTTACTGAAAAATCTCAGAATTATGCTAAGTACCCAACTTAACCATATTTTCTAGTCGAAATCCAATTTCAAACATTCAGTTAATATATCACGAGATGGTCAAGCAAAGTCATATTGCAGTTTATTCACACTAAAAGTGGTGAAACTCTGATTCTCAGGTATTAAGTCAAAGGAAGGAAACACTTTCACCAGGAGAGATTTATTTGTGGTCTAACCTTTTGCATAATTACGTCGTCCATCCCTCTTCGGGGCCTGAACATACAGAATCACTCTCATTAAACAACGCCCTTTTCCGTGTGCGAAGCCTTCCAATATTGGCTGAACCGCTGTGTATGGTTTGCACCTCGCCATCACTTCTGTTCCCGCGGCCCTGCTCCCCGTTAGCCGCCCATGGTGCTGCGTCTGCTTCTGTATCACCATTGTTTTTTTCACTCCCGCACTCGTTGGTCGCGGAGATATTTAGCGACCCCAACTGTTCATTCATGTTAGAAGACTTCGCATTATGTTCCTTGTCCCGTAAATGTCCCAATTTCAGGGCGGAAGAGACATTCCAGCTTAACCTGGAAGCTGTGTTCACATGGACGGTAGCTGCTGACTAGCGATCAGGGACACTAAGATGAACATTTCTGGATTACTCGCGGTCCTCAGCCAGTAACACACCAATCTCGCGTCGCACACCGAAACGCGAGTCAGTTGAGAGCTGGGCAACACTCCCACCATTGTACTGCTGACTTGCAGCCTGAAATCAGGGTTAATCGTAATGCGCCTCTGTCACGTGATTAAGTACTCGCGATATTACTCGGTATGATACCAGCCTAGTAAGGCACTTGCTGCACTGATAGACACTTTTTACATTGGTGGATGTAACGCTCACCGATCAGTTACAGGACTAATTCTGCCCTGCCTTCCTTGGAGCTCACTCATGAGTCCCGCCAGTAGCCACAATGTGGCTGGTGTTATAGACCGATAAACAGTACTGCCAAAAACAATGGAGCCTGGAATGGTACTTTTTCACTTATTAACCCTCATCAGCAAGTCATATCTAATCACAAGTGCGTTAGTTCGCTAGACATTTAATCAACAGGTTGCAAGTACTAGTTTCTGATGACGCATGGCCTGGAGTTGGCTATTACTGACTGATTACGACAATGAGACAGAAATAGCTATTTCAGTCGCCTTTATCTTTGTCAATAATGTTTATGGGCCTATAATCCTAACCACCATGCGGCTGCTGCCGGGGCTCGAGAGTAAACCCCAAGGCAGAGCGGGTCGAATGCGTCCCTCTAACGATCGGTTAGCATCCATCTCTAAATGTTTATATTCCCGAATTAAACCGGCACGACAATGGGCCCGTATTTAAAGGGAATAGAGCGTTGGGCTTCTAATCCACGGGTCGCGGATTTGAGGTTGAATCTGATTGGTTAGTTGTGGATAATAAGCCAGAAATACCTTTAACAGTCTTCTTTGCCTTCCTCGGTATTGTTCATCGCCTTTTCGCTCCTATCGGTATGAGGTGAAAGAAACTGTAGTGGCCGTGTGTGTGTGGTTTAATTGTGGCTTTCTTGCTCTGTGACGTCTTGATCAAAATACGTGGCAAGGGAACCGCATCTCGCTGACCTAAATTGCCTACCAGGGCTGACAATCAAATTTGTAGCGACTTTGAATTAGGCTGCGTTACACGGAAAAGAACGCAACATTCCCAGGGGAGAATAAGCGCAGGCAAAAACGCACCTAGTCCACTATTGTGGGTAAACGTCAAACACTCGCATGTTGTGCCGGAAACGCCTCGTCAGGATTTCCGCTGGGGCTGGCGTTGGGTGCGTGGGAGGAGAAGCGTAGGCGGAGAAGAAGGAGGAAGATGGGGAGCAGGAGGAAGAGCAGGGGGAGGGAAGGAGGATGATATGGAGGATGAGGAGGAGGAGGAGGAGGAGGAGGAGGCAGAGGAAGTGGCAAGGTGTGCACGGTACATAGTACATATGGACATATAAGGAATTTCCATTAACGCCCTCTCTGTTGCCACGCTCACTAGACCGCCTTGCCTCCTATCGCGCGCAATGAGCGGTGGCTGCAGTGCTAAAATACCTTGCTAGAAAACCATTAGACATCTCGGCAACTATAGTTTAAGTAGTGCACCTCATATACCCCTAGTCCCAGCATTTTTTCCTACGGAAACGGTGGTTGTAGGGATTTTATGGGTGGGGAATTAGGATAGGCAGTGAAATATACTTTAATAACTGCTATATGCATTTTTATTTTATTGTACTTAGGGATGTTGTTGATTTATACCTCTAGATTTTCTTAATATGTATTATCGTTTAACGTATTGCGAAAAAAACTGATTTTTAAAGGCAGGTTTCTTGAAACTCCTGAAAAAATAGAAATGATGGCTAAGAAGTCGTCTACTTCAACTTATCTGAGGCTCGACTTATCTTTTTGGAGTTAGATTAGTATAGTCCGCGACGCGAAGCGCTGTGCACACCTTTGAGTTACATGTGCAACAGCTAACTACCAGCGGCCGTGGGAAACAAATTCAACTACATTTTTCCTGTTTACACTTACTTGTACAAATTTCCTTCACTGCCTATCCTATTTC